GCGTTCCAATTGGCAATTCGGATGCTGTGGGACTCAGTTGACCCCATATTGGCAGACCATGTATCCTAGGACCTTGACCTGGTCCGAACGGGTTTTGCACTACTTCAAACGATTGCAGAACTCGGTAAAGATGGACCACAGCTGAGCAGAACTGTAGAGCACCTCTTCGCTTTCCTCGGGAGATGAACCCGCTGATGGAACATTTATACCCGCTCTGGTGCGAGGATCGATACTACGTTCATGCTTATGTTGGTTGATCCCGGCGTTGACTGCGGACTGTGAGCCCACAAAAGTTGATGCTCCGGCTGGTACCGAGCTATTCTTCATAGTCAGTGCAGGTGCAGCTGAACTTTTTCTGACTTCCTTTCGACCCGGCTGGTTTGAGGTTGTTGCTTGTTGTCGAATCCGAATGTATTCGGCACGCTTGGGGCAGCTACGATCTGTAGCCGGATGAGCGCCGTCGCAGTTGGCACATCGTTTCGCTGGTGCACTTTTTGTCGAGCACTTCTCGGTAGCGTGGGTTTCGCCACAGTTGTTACATCTGCTCTTCAGGTGGCAGTTTCGGGTTCCGTGGCCGTGGTAAAGGCAGTTCATGCACTGCGTTACGTCGGCTCGCTTGTTGCGGTAGGCTTCCCACCGTACGATGATGTGCGCAACGTGCTTCACGTCTCACAGCTTCTTGAGGTTGGTGTATCCCTTGGCAAAGTGCACCAAGTAGAACGATTCATCGAGATTTGCACAGTCCCCTTTCCTTTTGATGATGTGAGTCGCCTGGTCGATGAGGTTGTGTTCCTTCTTCAAACGTTCCAGAAGCTCTTTTGGGTCAACCAGCGGAAGACCACGGAGCACAACCCGGTAGGGTCGTTCATTTTGTTTGTCGTGCGTATAATATTCATACCCGCTTTTGTACGTAGGCGTGACGTCACACGAGCGCATTTTTTCGACGAGGGTTGCGAAATCGATGTTCTTAACCACCAGGGGTGGTTGCTTTCCGTTTCCGGGGGCATTTTTCGAAGTTGAAATCACCGGGGTCGGCTGACTTTTGGTGGTCTGGGATTGATGATCCAGCATGATGAATGAGTTATTATTCAACAACTGTTGCTGCAACTTGTCGTTGTCTACGGCAGTTTGTATTTTGGTTTTCTTCCGCTTGGGCTTGGTGCCCGTGTGGAAATCAGCCGCGGTGAGCGGCGTCTCATCTATGTCCATCTCCTTCCGATGCGCGCGAAGTTTTCAGAGCAGGCGAAAAACACGTCCGAACGTGCCGCTTGAATGACTGAGACTGGTCGTTAAGCTCGCTGCTTGCAGACAGCCTTTCGTTGTGTACTGGAGAACACCACCACTCACCACGCGGTGATTGAATAAGCACATGGTGAGACCGGATGGAATTCAACTTTGAAATCTGTATTAGGGAAAGTCTTAATTTTAACAGATTCGTAGAAAAAAAAATCCTATCTATTGGAGTATTGAGAATTAAAATCCATCATCTCTGGATCAACATTAGATCATTTTCATGCCGTGACCGACTTTGGTTTTTGAAATTGCAACCCCAATGTTGTCTTCAAGAACATGGTATGTTAGATTTAAACATATCTAGATAGAGCTGGAATTAGGCCTAACAGCTATTGTAAACAATGACTTTGCTCGATCATTTTTTATGAATTCAAGGCAGGCCCATGCAAACCAACATAACCGTCGGGTAAGGAAAGTCTTACCCTACCTGATGGTGATGTTGATTTGCGTGGGCGAGCCTTGACTTTCAAGACATCATCGAAAGAAGTCATTGTTTACAAAAGCTGTTACGCCCTAATTCCAGCTCTATCTTGATATGGGAACTGTCATCCGATTGATGACCTTGATAAATGTCCAGCAAATACTCTTTTACTAATTTATGGTGGTCCTGAAAAGGACCGTTTTGTCTTGATGGTTGAGCAATGCTGAGCTATTAGGGTGTTAAACACAGATGAGGCTGATGAGCTGTATGTTGTTTGGAATGAGGATGACGGGCTTGGCATAGATGGCCCACAGCGACTCACGAAGAGCTACTGATTCCGATCAATAGCGGTGCGGTTTCTTCCTCCTTCTATGGATGCTCATGTGGGCTGCAGCTCGCTGCTTTCAAGCAGCCTTTTGTTGTGTACTGGAGAACAATGTTCAACGCCACGCGCCGAAAGCACTGCTGCTGCAGCTGCTGATGCCGACGACTGGACGCCACCACACACGGTGATTGGACTGAATCCGATGGCTTTGATGACTAGCTGCTTCCGGGGAACCTTTCGTTGTGTACTGGAGAACACCACCACTCATCACGCGGTGTTTGAATAAACACCGTTTGGTGAAACCGGATGGAATTCAACTTTGAAATCTGTGTTAGGAAAATCGCTTTTCGCAGGCAATCGGTGATAATTTTATTTATCATACCAACGGTTGCACATTCGTGCAATTTTCAAAAGTGAGATTTTTAAAAATGATAATGTCTTAAATTTAGCAGATGCGTAGAAATATTTATGATCCATTGGTGATAAAATTATTGAAATTTGTCCAGGGGCAGTTGATAAATTAACATTCAAAATCTTTCATAATTTTGTTACATGTTCCATTTTCGGTTTTCACAAAGTGTACCCCCATATAGAAATCAAAGACGTAGTCCTACGTCAAAAAGCGCGACAAATTAGATTGCTGTAACTACCACGCGATCACACTGCTGAGCGCCACCTACAAGGTACTCTTCCAAATTCTATGCCAAGGCCTGCTACCGCGGACCAAATTTACGCGATTCGGCATATTCTGCCCAACGTGCCCGCTAATCATTTTTTCATCGGTTTCAAATCCGCATACGACACAATCGGTCGTGATCAGCCATGGCAGATTATGCACCAATACGGATTTCCGGATAAACTGACCCCACTGGTCAAGGCAACGATGGATCGAGTGATGTGCGTTGTTCGAGTATCGTTGATACTCGAGGAGTACCATTGAATCTCGAAGGGGATTGCGGTAAGGTGATGGACTTTCGTGTCTGCTATTTAACATCGCGTTATAAGGTGTGATCAGAGGAGCTGGGATAGACACGAGGGGCACGATCTTCACGAAGTCCATCCAGCTTCTTGGCTTCGCCGATGACATCGACATCATGGCACGGAACTTTGAGACGATGGTGAAGCTAGGCGGATTGGACTTGTCATCAACGCATCGAAGACGAAATACATGAGAGGAAGAGGTTCTAGCGAAGGCAATGTTTCTGCCGAAAATGATACCAGCAGACAAATTCAAAGACGCATTATGGCAGAGAATCGTGCCTACTTTGGACGCCGGAGGACGCTCCGGTCGAATAAAATTTGACATCGCACGAAGTTGGCTATATACACGATGCTGATTAGACCGGTGGTCCTCTACGGCCCCGAGACCTGGACTATACTCTACGGTGGGAGAGCAGATGTATGACGGAACGTGGAGGAGGCGAATGAACCACGAATTTCAATAGCTGCTAGGCGTCCACATTTCAAAAAATGGCGCCCGAAAGAAGAGGGATTCGCTTTAACCTCGTCTTAGATTCGGAAAATATACTCACGGAAAGAGGTAGAGACGCATTCTTCGTATTCAGTTTCGAGTCTCGAGTTTCGAGTCGAGCGAAGAATGCTACGTCGAAGCTCGGCATTCCACTACGGTTTATTATCCGAGCGACGAGGGAGAGTTCTACGGAGCGGTGTGTGCCTGCTTATGATCCCGAAAATCACGTCATAGAATGTATGGTAGCTGCTGCGTTGACATTGGCACCGATGGCAGAATTTCCCAACGACAAAAGTGGCTTTCTTCGGAACCATAGGAATCAATTGCCCATTTATTGAATTGTAATGACCCGTGAATAGCTTACCGCAAGTGTCAATATTCCACCCCCGTAGATGTAAATGCCATTAAACAATTTCCACAGCAAGGAAAACTCGTTCGAAGGGAAAAGTTCATGATGAATTATTAATATCAAATGGGCGCGTCTTCTCTTCACCATCGTAAGGCGTAGCTACCTTTACCCATCCATTGAATTCAACTCAACGAAAGTGCCGATGACGGCCTTTTTACTTTGATCACCACGTTAACTGCGACACGTGTTCCGTCCGCTTAATTCGAATCACACCTGACCTACAGTAGCATACAGGGAGGATACGGAAGCCGGCACCGCCTTCTTCGATATCGCAGATGGTTTGATTAAGTGGCCGACGTCGAAGCAAGCCAGGCCCAAAGTGGAATCGATGACCGAAGTAGGCAGCTAGGGGCAAAAAAAAAATACGACATGGACGTGACCCATCTCAAATGAAAACAATTTGCGGCTCCTCCGGCCGTATGCGAAAAGCAACTTTTCTTTTCTATCACGCTTTTCGCCCATTTTCTCCTCGTTAGCTCGTTTGTCGCTTGTCGTAAACGGGCTGTCCAAGTGTGGTTTTTCATTTCGATTAATCATTCCCAAACAGTGCACAAGGAACTAATCCAATGCCAATAAAGAAAAGGGAAATATTTCATGGGTCAGCTGTTGCCCCGGGGCGGAGACCCAGACGATCGTGTGCTCGCTGTGGTCGCTCAACGGTGATAAATTCAATGTATACGTGCGAACAATTCCCAAGAAAAACACAAACTAATTTGTGGCGCGTTCAAGACCAAACCGGGTTAATGGTTATCCAGCCGATTTCCTCTAAAGGGTGGAAGGGAAAGGGCGAAGTAAAACTTTTCCCCTCACCAGGTCGGTCGAACTTTGGATGAACTTTTTTTTTTCTTTGGTACAAAGTTTGCCGCTGTGTTTCGAAGAGATTTTCCCCGGTGAGAACTGCTTGTGGGCACTTAGTCCAGGGTTTGGAAGAGTAGGCGGATGATAATTCAGATGACTGAAAATTTTGAGGAATCTTGGAGGAATGGGAGGGAAGTTTGGAAACTGCTCCGCTGAGTTTTACTTTTAGGTGGCAAAATGCTAGCTGCAATTTGATTAATTCTGTTCAAATTTATCCTTTCAGGTGTTGCTCACACAACAACGGAACTCAACTGTAGTACTGAATTCGTGGATGTCAATCAGGTAGGTTTTCCCAGCCTACTTATCGTAATAAAAAAAATCCCAACTAACCGCCCAATTCCCAATTCCTTTTTTCCGAATAAATGTCAAAACAAAAATTGTAACATGCCTGACATCGGAGCAAACCAATTCGCTGGTCCATCTCTCAAAATAGCCCGAAGTGGCGAATTCAATTTCATGATGTAGCCTTTCCCATGTTTGTTCCGGCCTACCAGACAATCATGTCATATTGCTTTCCGCTTTTTGCTGAATTCTGATCGTTTTCCCGTTTCATTCTCTGGCAACGAAAAATCAAACAAAAAATCTCTTTCTGCTTCCAGAGCTTCATATGGCCCCTGGCGCGATCGGCCGACGAGGATGAGACGGTGATTGTCGAGCTGCGACAGCAGACGACCAAGATTCTGCTCAAAACCGGCATCGGCGGATCCGCTACGAGCCGGGGCGGCAGCCGCGGCACCATCACCAGCAGCACGAAAATCATCGGCCGGTACGTGATGCTGATGCAAGGTAGGTTCTCCACTCCCAGAGGGTCTGCAACATTTTCAAATGAATTCTAATGTTTGCATATTTTTGCCATGAAGAAAGATGGTATAAGTAGGCGGAAATTTGTGAACAGTTCCCAGGATAACCGTTCTGTACAGTTAAAGCAGTGTTGGAAGAACACCCCAAGGCATCGATAGGTTAGAGTTTCGCGATCCAATTTTGCTAAATTCCACTCAATTTCGCACCCAAATGGCATCATTAGTATTCATCGATCGGCAGCGAGGGACGTGCTATATTTAAATTTTGTGTATTGAACTTTCCAGCAGTCGGAAAACTGTTTCCATGCAGAGGGGGGAAGTTTTGACTTTGATTCGGCACACCCTGTGTCGATTTCCACGAAAAGGGAAAAGTTGTGTCATACTAATTAAGTTCAGCCGTGTCCCAGAGTTCCGGAATGACCTTCACTCGCAATTGTCACTTCTCGAGCAACACGGGAAAAGGGTCTATGTGACAAATTTAAACCATGACTGTAATCGTCGATTTCGCATGAACAAACTTCCTCTACCAGATGGAACGGGCCTCATCAGAACCTGCAGACACTGATACAGTCGTTACTCAGCTGTATACAGTCATAAAGGGGAATTAGTGTGCCAATAGTTAATTGGGTTGTTTACATTCGACACATAGGCCCTTTTCACATGTTGCCCTAGACTTGTTACTAATAGTAACAACGTTGGCAAAGAACATTGTCGCAATTTTCTCCAACTTGGAAATGAGGCCGACTTTACCCGCACAATCGTGCTCAATTACATCCCAAGTAACATTGCAGGTTTTATCGCGGTTTTATAGCATTCTACAAGTCTAAATCATGGTCTACAGAACCCTCATAAAACCAAAATTGTTACTTGGGATACGCTGTGGTAAGTTCGCATCCAAGTAGGCACCATCGAAGGCAACCGTTTAAAAGCCATGTAACCGTGGACATTGCAAATAGGATTAAAAGTTTTCCAGCGGCTCCTTTGCATGCGGCAAATTTCCGGCATCAGACGGGCAATTAGGATCGCAGATTCCGACTACACGGCTAATCAGAACGACCCAAATTTGAGTTTAGTTCACTCATGTTTTCCCAGGATTTTCCAGGGAAAAAATCCCGAATTTGAGAAAAGTAAAGATTAGATTCACTCAGTCTTTTGGTACTACTCCGAGACTGAATAAAATTTTCGTCAATTTCCTCATTTTCCGGCAGATTTTTTAGGTTTTCCACAGGAAACCATGAGACAAATTTTACTCATCGCTGAGTTCCTGCACTTTTGGCGATTATGAGTGAACTAAACTCAAATTTTGGTCGTTCTCATTCGCCGTGTAGGGTTCCTTCGGATGAGATGCAAGTTGATTCTTTGGTTTAACCGTTCCCACTGCTTTGGTTGTAGAGCAGAAGACACATTAACCGGCCACGTCCCATGTGGCTAGAGACACCAATGTAAATGCGACTTTTTATCTGGGTAATTCTGTTAATTCCTATAGGCAGGCTTGCTGAAACTCCTCAAGCTCACTGGAGGTTTTAAAACACTTTTGTCCTGCAAGTTTAGTCAGCCCTCCCCTCGAGTGAGTGGCGGCAGGAATATGGAAGAAGTACAGTCAGGAACCCTTATTGCCGGGGTAACGGGGGCGTGAATAAGGAACCGCGAATAAGGATACCCACAGCACAGACAAACAGACGTAACTCTTTGAAAAAGTTTTTCTTGAAAACATAGTATCTCAAAACATAGGACCTCAGTAACGACATCTCTCTGGCTTCTCGCGGAAAACAAGATTGCTCGCTAACTCGCAAACAATATTGCATAAAAGTTCTATAGAATGTATAGAAATGTCAAAGTGATCCGATGCCAGCGCTGCGGCGAGTAGTTCGCGGAACTGATAATATTCAAATCTACCGTTAAATGCGTGAACGAAGATACACAATGAAGTGTTACGTGTTCTCCTTCGCTTCACTTCATACTACTCTCCTACTTCGCTTTTCTTCACGAATTTCTTCATCTTTCTACCATCTTTACCTGTGTTATTTGTTATTCTACAGTTCTTTTAATTTGTTATTCTAGTCTTCTACTTCGTGTTGCTTAATCTTTCTTTCACCTGTGCAATTTGTTATTCTTAAGTTCTTGTAATTTGTCATTCAAGAGCTTTTTGTCCAAATCCGTTTCATGTAGGAAAATAAGCATTCGTGTTGTTCTTTCTTCCGTGTTGTCCAGAGCTTCACGTAGACTGGTGGTGATGTCATTTTTCCTACTCTCTTCGTCGTATTTCCTGCACTCAAGAATAATGTGCTTTACATCCAACACCGTACCACAACATCCACACACCGGCGAGGCTTCCTTCTTCAGAAGAAACGTGTGGGTTAGTCGCGTATGGCCGATTCTCAGACGTGTAAGCATACGCTGGTCGGCTGAACTTCCTCGTTCTGTCCATCTGTGCGTGTCGAATTTCACCTCCCCCAGCTTCGATTCTGTTGTGTTAAACCACTGCCTATTCCACTGACCATGTATCGCATGTTTCACCGCTTTTACCGCATCATCGCTTGGAATCGGTACGTCGATGGCTGGTTGTCTTCTAGCCTCATTGGCTAGTCGGTCAGCTTCAGAGTTTCCCCTGATGCCAGCGTGTCCAGGGATCCAGCAGAAACGGATGATTTTGCTTTGCACGATTCTCTCTACTTCCTGCACCCAAGGGTGCCGGGATGTTCCAGCCTCCAAAGCCAGTAGGCAGCTTGCGGAGTCCGTGAGAATAACCAACTCATTTTGAACATTAGGGATGGTGGCGGCCATTTTAATAGCGTAGGCCTCCGCAGAGAAAACACTACATTCCTTCGGAAGACTGTAGGTCCTAGGTAGCCCTTCGTAAAAGAATGCAGCTCCTACCGTGTCTTCACACTTGGAGCCGTCCGTGTAGACGATGGTTGAACTACGGAAGCGGGTCTCCAGTAATTGTCCAACAACTGGACGAACTTTCTCCGGTGGGTCTCCAGCGCGTATGCTTCTTTTCACATCCCACACTATCGTCGGTTTTCGTGCGTGCCACAAGCGATTGCTCTGCCTCACGAGTGAACCGACAGTAGAGGAAGCGTTGAACCGGTTAATTCTTGGAGGCGATTTGAAGCGCCTGTAATCAGAGGTAGGGTGCTGCTGTTTGGATTCTTTGCGAGCATTCGGATGGCAATGCGTACTGTGGTCTGTGCTGCTAGCAGTTCGAAGGGTAGAGTCCCAGCTTCGGCCATCACCGAATGCTCCGGAAGCGAAGCGAACCATTTTGTTGTAGGCAGGAGCGAGAGTCTGCAAGGTTGCTGGCCCTCCTCGACTAACAAGTCCAATCCCGTAGAGCAGCTCCGCAGTAACTATGGCTGACCCAACTTGCAGCAGAGAAGTCCGATTGCCACGTGGAAGTTTTGCACCGATCATCTGTAAAATCCGTAACCGAGATTCGCATGCTTTCTTAACCATATTGCAGTGAGGTTTGAAGGATAACGTTCGGTCCATGGTTACACCTAAAATCCTCAGCCGGTTGGTCTTTGGCACGGGAGTTCCCTCGATAGAGATGCCGACACAGTGAAACCAACGCTTTTCGTCCGTCGGCTTTGACGGCGGCCTGTAGTTTTCGGTGTAAGCCTTCAGTTTTAGCACCTCGCACTGCTAAGAGGATATCGTCCGCGTACAAAAGAATGAAGACTCCGTTGGGCACTACTCGGAAGATGGGCTGCATCGCGATGAGGAACAGCGTCACTGACAGGACAGAGCCCTGCGGAACTCCGTTTTCCAACGGATACTGGCGAGACATATGCCCCCCAACGGATACCTGGATCGTTCGCTCCGAGAGGGAGTTTTTCATCATGTTCAGCATCCGACCACGTATTCTCCATGACCTCAGAGTGCGGATTATGCCGCACCGCCAGGTGGTGTCGTAAGCCTTCGACAGGTCCAGGGATACTATCAGACAGTGCTCGTCTGTGCTTGGAAGCGTTCTCTCGAGCTCGGAAAAGTACGTGTCGGTGCTGTCGTTTGTCGAGTCGCCCGCTCGACTCTAGCTCGGTGATCAGTCGTCGATTTATGATGCGTTCAAGCAGCTTCGCCCTGCAGCTGGTGAGCGAGATTGGACGGAACGCAGCGGGTCCGGTATCGAGGCAGTTTGGCTTCGGAATGGGCACCACGATTGCATTTCGCCAGCTGGTGGGAAACTCTCCACTACGCCAGATCCGGTTGAGCAGCTCTAGCAGTGTCATCTTCACGGACAAAGGTAGACGTCGAAGCATTGGGTACCCTATCATGTCGGGTCCTGTCGAGGCAGCTCGCCCTTTCTCGAGAGCCCACAGAAGTTCGCTTAGGGTAATGTCGCTGTTGTACACGTCGTCCGTGTTTGGCGAAACATCTATGGACTCTCTTTCAGCTGCTGCCTTAGTCTTCTGAAAAGAAGTAGGGTAACTGGAGGTCGCAGATCTATCGCTGTAAAAACTGGCTAGTGCTTCCGCAGTTTCTTCGGGGTCATCGCCGAAGCCATCCGATCGCTTGAGAGCGACGGTACGTTGTTGTCGGCTGCCACGTAGCGTGTTCACCGTTCACCACAGTTCGGTTGTCGGGCTGCTTGTTGCAATTTTGGCCACGAAGTTCTCCCACGATCGTTCTTTTGCTTCCTTTATCGCCTTCCGTGCTACAGCTCTGGTTTCCTGAAACCTCGCCAATGCAGCGGGTCGATCAGGATCAGATGTCTACAGCCACCGCAGAGATCGAAGACACTTTCGTCGATGTCGAATCGCCGCCTTCGCTTCAGGGCACCACCATGGTAATGGTACCGCTTTAGGCCCTATACGGCCGCTGGTTTGCGGTATGGCACGAGTTGCTGCTGCAATTATCTTCTCCGTGAAGCTGTCTACGTCCCATTCAACATCTGGCCGGATGGTTTCTGCGTGATACGTTCGTTCGTGAGGATGACCACCCAGGAATAGAAACTGTTATCGGGAAATGGTCACTATTGTGTGC